AAAAAAAAAAGAGTAACTTAGTATTGCCTTTTCTTATGATCACGTTATCCTTGAGTAGATTATCAAATTTCTAAGCAAGGACCTCAGTGAGACCTCTTACAGGTCTGGGACTTATGCCAGGGCCATGTCAAAGCCTCCCTACCCTTTCTCCACATGTGCAGCCCTGATTAGGAATTGAGGGGACTGAGGCTTTCCTAATTTTCTAGTGGGTTTAGCAAAGCCTTCTGGGCCTCAGTTTCCATTTCTGTAGAATGAATGATGGCATCTTCTGTCCTGCATACCACCGAAGTTGTTGAGGAATTTCAAATGAAATAATATAGCCATTTACTTAACAAATATTTATTGAGCATCTGCCTAGGCACTGTTCTAGAAACTGGGGGATATAGCGGTGACTACACAGCTAAGGGAACAAATCAGTACAGACTATGATGTCAGGTGGTGAGAACGCTATGAAGGAAAATAAAATAGAGTCAAGGGCGGGGGCCAACTTTAAATTGATCTGTCAGAGATGTGAAAAGCAAAAGTAGGAGCAGGTCATCTTCACCCACATTACTTTTCTCTCCTGTGACCAGTCTGTTCCCTTCTATTTGGCCTATGGGGCCCACCGTGACTGTGAAAGATGAACATTGTACTTACAATGTAGTTCAATGATGTTACAATGTAGTACAATGTAGATGAACACTGCATGATCGGATGCAATCCTAACAGATATGAATTATGTAGATAGAAAAGCTGGGAGGAAAGATCAACTTGGCTCAGAGCTGACCCTTCTATCCCTTCCTTTAGGGACCCATAAGCCAAGACCAGTGAGGCAGTAATGTCTTCAGAGTAGACTTTGCCTCTCTGGGTCATGCCTATTTAAACATCCCAACTCAAGGAAGCCCTGTGTATTGGCAAATGTGCTCTGGCTGGAAAACCCCAGAGTTGTAAATATGGGTCTTGAAATCCCAGAAATTCTGAGCGGGAAGAGAGTTTTTCTCAGTCTCATGATCACACGCTCCACCCAGTGACCAGATCAGGTTCTCAGTGTGAGATATGGGGTGGAAGTGCACATGAGATTCTCACGGGACGGCCGATGGGGGTGGGGCTGGACATGGCCTGCAAATCTCCAGAGAGCTTCTGAGCACCTGACAAAGGTACTTCCTCCTCACCAACACCCACACCCATCGGGGAGCTGGCTCAGTTCTCCTGATAGGGAGACTGAAGATCAGAGACGCCAAGGTGAACTTGAGGGTGTAGGGGCTCCACTTTCATTCAGACCCCTTTCAAACTCTGGCCCAGACTGTGCAACCCTAACCCTCTACAAACTCAAAAGTGATTTGAAATAAAGAACATGTTTTCTTGGCTGACTAGTAAATATTTCACCAACATAGGTCTTGATCAGCACGAAAAAAGGTCCTTTGACAAAGCAAGAGACCCAAACCGGAGATAACAGCAGTGAACTAACAGAAACCAAAGCTTTCCACTGCACTACATCTTTATTTTGAGCTAGACAAAGTGCCTTTCTGATGATATAAATTCATTAATCTGCCTTTACAGTGAGAGAGACATGCCCAGACTGGACTCCAGCTCCTCCTCTAAGGAAGCCAGCTCATCAGCTTGTCTCTACTCTATCAGTTAGGGCAGTGCTGGCTGTAGCATATAAACTGATAACTCAGTGGCTTAACATGGTAGACATTTGTTTCTCAGTCACATAAAATTTGGTTTGTGGGGTAGGGAGGGGATCCTGTTTGTGAAGTCACGCAGGGACCCCTCTGATAAGGACCTTACTATCTTCTTCTTCTTCTTTTTTTTTTTTTTGTGGAGACAGAGTCTCACTTTATCGACCTGGGTAGAGTGCTGTGGCGTCACACAGCTCACAGTAACCTCCAACTCCTGGGCTTAGGCAATTCTCTTGCCTCAGCCTCCAGAGTAGCTGGGACTACAGGCACCTGCCACAACGCCCGGCTATTTTTTTGTTGCAGATCGGCTGGGGCTGGGTTTAAACCTGCCACCCTTGGTATAT